AAAGTATAAAATTATGACCTAAATATTTTCATGTCTCAAACCAATTAACCATTTGCTAGGTCAAAAATTAGAAATTGCCCTTTTCTCAGTCAAAATCCTAATTTTGACCATTTGCCCTTGTGATGCAAACTTGATAAAATGACATATAGGAGTTCACAATGTTGATATGGATCAAAAATTATGATTTTTGACTGTAAATTGACCATAATTTACTTTTTCCCCAATACAGCTGATTTTTAGGTCAACTGCTCAATTGTCTGAGCAAAAATGTGATCCAAGACTTGAAACTTGACATGAGTAATCTTGAGGGTCCATAATGATCCATGAAAGTCATATGAGGCATTAAATGTTCAATTATCCTTGTGCAATCTCAAACCCTAATTTCATTCATCAATGTTTAAGGAGGTGTCTTGAGCTGATCAATCCTTGTACAGTCTTGTACCAAAAGAGATATTGTGAGAAAATATTTGATAAATGAGAGGGAAAATTTTGGGGTACAACAATGACTAACTCATTTTGAATGATTTAATGATTGACTATTTTGTATAATTCTTATGTATGATAATATATAATTCTCATGTGTGTGTAATTACCCCATGACTTCTGTCTATGATTCAATATGTTGTTACTACTCTGATTTATGTTGTTGCTGATACATGCTCTGATGGATTCACTTCTGTTGCTGCTAATGTTTCAAGCTTGAAGAGTAATTTTTCCAAATTTTTCGAAAGGGGGAGATTGATATCCCTTTTGGATTGGTTTCATTAAGCAAAACAACATGGAGTTTGCTCAAGCTTTTTATAGTGCAGAAGGAACACATGTGGAACAAGATGTTCCAAGATGTGTGATGCAACATCTGGTCTCTTACAACAGACAAATGTTATTGCAGTTCTAGTTCAGACTTATTCTATCCAATATTCACTCTACAAGAAGATCTACATTTCATGGAGAAGAGTGAGTTTGGATGTATTGGTGCAACATGTTAAACACGATCCTTCAACATGTGTACAGTGAAACATCTGGCCTTGACAACATGTCATATAGATGTTTCTTGGTGTATAATTCTGATAGAGATTTAATCATATTTGTTACAGTTAATTTAACAATGTATATTTTATTCGTTTGACAGGTAGAGACATTCATATCAGATTTAAAAGAGATTTAGATCTGAAAGATAACAAATCTTATCTTTTTGTTGGAGATAGTTATGAAGAAGATCATATAAATAGATTCATTGATTTTTGGAGGCAATCAAATCTAATATCCATAAGAGAAAATCCCGAAAGACATTGCTATATAAGAAGGCTCAGGTCTCAGTTTGAGATATGGATTTTGTGTCCAAGGACAAGGTTCATTTGTGCTAGAGTTTTGAGTCTTTGTAACTTGTATTCCATGCTAATGTCATAATAAGGACTATGGTTGAATCATTGTGTGCACCACTCTATGTTTCATTTACTTGTCATAGTTGTTGTTTTTCTTAGTTGAGTTGTAAATTCAACGACCAATAGAGTTTGTAGTGAAGTTGATTACTTAGAATTAGTGATTGAGAGAAAGCGATATGGTTTCCCATATTAGGGGGAGTCCTAAATTGAAGTTCATGGGATAGTGTTAGGAAGAGGTATTGAAGAAATGGGTTTATTTTTCCTATAAGACTAAGTGTACTAAACTAATAATAGTGATTTTCCTCACTTGAGTAGAGTTCCCTCCAGACGTAGATGTTGTTCTTACTGAACTGGGTTACCAATATCTAGTGTTATTTATTGCTTTTACATTGACTCTGCATTACTATCCATCTGAGTTTAAATCTGATTTAACTTGTAGAACTAGTTGCTCTAAATCGTGTCCAACATTTGTCCTCTCAAGAACAAAATTTCAATATTGAGGAATCTTTATCATCCGAAAATGAATTTCATCCATTCGAATATAAATACCCTAATGAAAATAATGTTGAAAAAGGATTAACCTTTTGATTAAGTTGAAAATGAAGATGAAAACACTTATTTTTTTTGAACTTGAGAAATTATTTTTTTGGATAATCTTTTGAATGTTACTTTTTATAATTTAGTGGGTAACTTATGTAGTTTGATACAAGTTTGTGAATATTATCCATTATTGTGGTGATAGAGTATTTTTTGCTTTATAATTATGTTAAAATTTTAAATGATTTATTGCATTTAGAATATTACGTAAGGATATATATATATATATATATATATATATATATATATATATATATATATATATATATATATATATATATATATATATAATGAGGTAAACTTAATGAGGTAAACTCTATTATTTTATATTTTATTTTTACGTTTCGATTTTACCTAGGCAAAATGAGTTAAGATAAAAACTCGATTTTGACAACCTTGGTTTGGAGCATTACAAATGCTATTAGGGCAAACCTCTCTCAGTACGATGTGGTTCATGGACGCACTAAGCAGAAGCTGGTGACATGTGACACTCGAGCCCGACGAGGACATGGAGTGGTCAATGGTGCACAGGACATGACAATGAGCGGCTCCTGACAGTTTCTATGTATAAAATCGAATTCACATCAAAATGAGAGAGGTCATGAGATTGTGCAGGACTGAGACTGTATGACTAAAAGAAGACTTATAAGGATTGATTGGTACTACTTAAACCAACAATAATAATATTCTTTCCGGTAGCCTAACAAATAGAAACTCTGTAGTTAAGCGTGTTTGACTTAAAATAATATTTGAATAAGTGACCTTCTAGAAAGTTTTTCAAAAATCGTATTAATAAGGACAAAACATGCTATAAAAACGCATGTCCATTTATTTTCTATGAATTAATTTTCTACAACCAAACAACTATTACTTAGAATCGTAAAAATCGTTTGCTAACAGCTTTGCAACGATTTCCTAGAGAGAAACGGAAGAGTTCCATACTTTGATTTGTTTCCACCTCTTAAAAGTAATTTATGTATTTTTTTACGGAAAAATAAAATATATTATGTGTTATTTAAGTTGCCACAAAAAGTTGCAAATCATTTCTATATGTTATGAGAGAAATCTATGAAAATATTAGTTTAAAATTTAATCACAAGACTAAAATTTATATTATCAAAAATTGACATTTAAAAAATTCATAATTATTTCGTCTCATGTTGAGAAAGATGTTATAATGTGATAAATTTTCATATAAAAAAATATAAAAAATTTAAATCTAGATCATTATAAATATCTTTTTAGAAAGAAAAAAAATTAAAGAGTGTTTGAATTAATGGCATATTAAAATATTGAATTAACGAAAAATTAGTGATCATTTATGAATTTAAATACGACGTTCATTTTATACAATACATTTAACCACAAATTTACCATCGCTATATAAATGATTAAATATGTCATATGACATTCTCAGTCACTAAAATCTATTATGTGTCATGTCACTAAAGTTTGATAGTAGTATTTTAAGACATTAAAAGCGAAATTTTATATATTTAAAGTGAGTACATACTTATTTAACCTTTTAATAATATTTGAAAACTATATTATTATTATTATTATTATTATTATTATTATTATTATTATTATTATTAAGTATAAAAGTTTATAAAAATGAATAATTTTTTTTATGATAGAGAGAGAGTTATTAAAATTAAAATTAAAGACTTTATTAAAAATGTGAGAATAAAAAATAATAGAATTTATGATAGCTAAAGTGATAAGAAACTTAGAAATGAAGTTTAAAAATAGGAGTATTGTTGGCATTATAGGTTTTTTTTTTTTTTACTTAGATTAGAATATCCAATTTAAAATAGGATTACGGTTATTATTTTACCTAGATTATTTTTAGTTTATCCTCTATAAAAATTTTTTTTCAAAAATAACTTTATCATTTCGAAAAACTAATAATTTAATCTCTATAAACATATTTAATAAATTTAAATTTTTTATGATTTTTGATTTTTTGAATCGATTTTCAATTTTTTATTTAGATTTATTTAAATTTAAACACCATTATTTTTATCTAATAGTGCAACAGCGAGGTTGTCGTAATTGTGTGAGAAATTAATTTTTCTGTATTAAATTAGAGATCAATATTAAAGGCAACATATTATTCTTTCCATTAAAATATAATGTTGATTAGCTTGCAAATAGTAAAATAAATATCAAAATTAAATCTGAAAAATCACAATTATTGAATGTTTTTTTTTCTTAAATAGGTGTAAATAAATAAAAGAACCAAAGACATGTTTGGATATACAATTTATTTTGAGTTTAAAATACAAGTGCTTATCAAAATAATCATTCATAAAAAAATTATATAAGTTATTTTACTTACGATAAAATAAATTTAAATTATAATTAAGTTTAATTAAATTTTTGATCACTCAATTTTTAAATTTTAATTTCTTCATCTCAAAAAAATAATTTGTTGGTCTTTAAATTTTACCTCATTCAGTATTTCATTGATCCCTTTCTAATTTTACATATGAGCCGTAATTATTAATATATGACATTGCACCAATTACATGTAATTAATAAGAGAATCACACATGAAAAAAGGGAATCAATGAAATATCGAGTAAAATAAAATTTAAAAAAACAAAAATTTAATTTTTAAAATAAAAAAATTAAAATTCAAAAATAAAAGATCAAAAATACATTTAAATCTTATAATATATGTTATATGATATTTTCATCAATTATCTTTAAAAACATAAAAATAAATAAATAATGTAAACTGTTTTAATTTCCAAACAATATTACAAAATTTATGAATAAGATAAATTCAAGCCAAATCAAATAGAAAATACAAAGAAAACTACAAACATCAAAAGTGCTCAGAAATAACAACATAATATTGGGATAGCTACCCCTAATGCTTTTTTATTACAAGTGATTATAAAATTAAAAAAACAACACAACATTGACTAAAAGCCAAAAACTATTTTAATAGACTTTAATAGACTTACACAATATAGGATTATAAAAACTATTTTAATAGACTTTTTATAAAACTTAATCATGTATGCTTCTAATCGAAAGTAGGCTTTTGTTATAAATTATGACATAAGAAATATGGGCTTGGAAGCCCAGGTCATCAACCATTTCGATATCCAAATCAAAGCATGCAATTAGTTCTTCATTATTTTTTCTTAAAAATAAATCCCCATTCTTTCCTCCTGCAAAAGGATATGCAACACAAGACAATGGTCCAAGAATAAAAAATTTAATCCAAGATTCTTTTACACCAATTTCATTTAAAATTGATATATGAATAGTATTAGTCTCCACATGATACGATGACAATGCAATGAATCCTTTAATTAACATTATCAAGTGTTTCTGGTTCCATTCACGATCCATATTATCGTTCATGTATGAGGGCATGGGTGTGGTAACAACTACCTCATTACTAACTTCAAATGACATCAAACATGTTTGGAAAATGTACTCGCTCATTTTATACAACGAATGACACATTCCATTCGAGTAACATCGACTGATTCTATTATCATGGTAAGGGATAAGCTGGTAAGAAGGGATTGTCATGGGGATGTTAATATTTAATTCCCTCCAAGAATCACTTCTTAGACTATATATCTCCCACACAGATTCATATGATACATCTTTCCAAGGCACATTTTCCTCATCCAAACCAAGATATTCACAATCATTGCGACTTAACTGATAAAATGATACACGTCGAAGCACTTTATAGTCATCCTTAACATGATCATAACCAAATCCGTGAATAAGCCATGAACAATTTCGATAAGGCACAGACTCAGTGGCACTATGAGGAATTACCTTGCATTCGTCAGTAGTTGGATTCCATAATGCAAAGTCTTCATTGAGACTAACGATACCGACAATGCCATTAATACTACAAGACCCCACGAAAATAAAATCTTGGCCCCAATCTTCAAATGGAAGAGAATAATCTATCTTAACCTTATTCTCTAATCTCTCACCTGAAAGGAAATAAAAAGATGATCGAACCTCCGCAACGTTAGAATCAAAAGTATAATTCATGAGATAAGATCTATCATCAGAATCAAAAAGAGTTTCAGACATAAATTTTTTGCGATAAATATTCATAAAATGAGAGTCTTTCAATAAGAAGATCCATGATTTTTGTACGCATTCAAATCGCTTCAACGATTTTAATGGTAATTTTGACAAAATAGATATTATGAGATCGTTGGGTATGTAGTTGCCAACTTTCTCCATCTCTGACCAAATGTTTCTCTTGAAACTGAAATTGGCGATATCAAAAATGAGATTGATTATAAAAATAAGATTGATTCACCTATGTCTTAAATAATATAAATATTAAAGTAGTTGTAAAAATAAAATAAAATAAAGTAAGGAAATAATTTGAAGTGAGTCAATAAAAAATATTATACGTATGGAATGAATGGATTTGCATTAAATATTCCATATTAATGAGATATTATTTCCTTATTCCAATAAAAATGATTAAATAAAAAAAATTAAATTACCCTATAAATGTAATACTGAAGATTTGAAAATAATTCTTTTATAATTACTTTTAGAAAATAAAGAAACAATTTGATTGAGTCAATGAAAAATGTTATATTACTCTAAAAGATAATATTTGAAAATGAAAAAAAGAAACGCCTGAAAAAGTAATGATCATAAATTGAATTTATACATTGCAAATCACATTTAAAATAGGAATTTTTAAAAAGTAAAAAGAATCTCTTATTCATTATTTTTTCCTTTAATTTAAAAGCAAAAAAAAATTACAATATTATATAATAAGTAAAACAATCAATTTTTACTCAATATTTTTTTGACGGAACAAAAATGAGGTATATATTAACGACTAAAATGAGTCAATTGACTAAAAATGATAAGAAAGAATCCAAAATTACAATTTGATTTTACTGAATCAGAAATGGATCGTCACAGCTAGCTCGGGCAGAAGTTGAATGAGATAGGGATACCTGCAAGACACTCCGATGGCAAAGTAAGTTGCAGAATGAGCAAGCAAGTACGAGTTTAGAGAAAAATGTTGAATACTTGTCCCTCTCGGAAGAGAGGGTATTTATAGCCCCCAGCGCTGGGCCAAGGTCTCTGTACTGCGCTGATCAAACAGATCCAACATAGAGACTACCAGGTTCTACGTGAGTAGTGTGGACCCGAATGTGGCTCCCTACCAAGATGACGTCCTCCGCAAGGTCAGAAGGATATGGACGCGATCTTTCTGGGATTACGAAGACTCCGCAATATCCGAAGACATTGGTAGTCAGTCCTACGAGTAAGATGCTCGGGAGGAGCGCCTACTCGTCAGCGATGGTCCCCGCGAGCATAAAATGGAAACAACCTTGGTCGACAAGGCCTTTATGGTCGGGGTGTGCTCGAGGATAATACCGATGATAAGTGTAAATTGTAGCTATTTTTGTATATACTTTTTGTTGCACTTATCGACTTTTTGTTGTTAATATCGTTGAATAAACTCGACTTTTGTATAAATACATTTAGTTTGTGTTTATTTGTGTTTTGTGTACATAGGATACCGTTTGATGTTTTTCCATTCATTTTGTAGGTATTGATGCGTATTTGGAGCATGAGCAATAAAGGGTCGAAGACACGACTTCAAACGCGCGATTTTGAGCAACTCGTCAATGAATAAGGCCCAAAATCAAAGAATAAGAAATCATAAATTTGGTTTATATTTTGTCATTGTTAGAAGGAGCATTGAATAAACTTTCCAACACATGGAACCAGGCACAAATCAGAGTTACGGTTCAAAAGTTATGGACGAAACAATGCAGGATGCTGTGTTGATTTTTCAACCTTCTGTCATCTTTCACCGGGCGAAAATTTTGGTCGCCGGGCGATGCTAGGCGAGTTGTAGCGTGGGAAAATGCTGTATTGGGTCGTCGGGCGACACTTTTTGGTCGCTGGGCGATCTTGGACAGTCAGAAATGCGTATTTAGGGCCAAAAACACATTTTTTTGGGTATGGTTTTGGGTATTTTTGACCCCAACTCCATCAAACTTCATTTTGTGATAGGATTAGCTTAGAAAATAACTTTGGAGATTGCATACAAATGATTCGGGGTGGATTGCTCATCAATCGGCGCTGGAAAACTGGTAGATTTGTGGTTCATTTCTCTTCCTCTTTGTGTATTCTTTATGTGTTGAGTTTGTACATGTATTTACTCTGAACTTATGTATATTTGTCGCCCATGGCGTTGTATTAAACTTTCTTTATAAATCTTTGTTGATTGTTGTCCTGAATTTTTGCTCTGTGCTAGGGATTTGAATTGTTATAGACAAATACTACTTAGATTCTTATCTAGGATGGTTATCAGTTAGTTTCTGAACTTTAGAGATAGATTTAGAACTGACATCTACTTGGGTATCAGAGCTTAATTCCTCTTTGTGGTTGTGCTGTGCTGAGAGATCGCTAGTGCAATAACATAAGTTGTCTTCTGTGTTGTTGAGGAGGTAGAGAGATAATTTCCTCGGTGATACAGCCAGTCTCTCAATTTGGGTTAGAAATGACTTATGTTATGAGTGGTATGTGGTGACATTGATAAATATTGTTAGGTTGAATGTAATTGGTCGATAGATTTAAGTCTGTGACGAGTAGATTATATGGAGGCTTGATAAGTTCTTCCTTAGTTTTTACTTTTGTTTACATTTATTTTATGTTGATAACATTTTCTTTACAAACCATTTATCCCCAAACTCATTAACGAGAGATTTTTTGAACGGTAATTCAATAACCAATCTCTGTGGACACGATAAATTCCCGAATAAATATTTCCAAAACTTTTGTTGCTTGCCGCTACACCGCTTCCAACAAAAATGGCACCGATCCCAGGGATTGGTTCTATTGATTCCGCATTGCGATGATTTCTTTGTTTTTCAGTTTTTTAATTAATGTATACGTTGTATAGAAAATGAATATTAACTTGTATATGATATTTGTACATATATGTGTTTTCATGTATTGTTGGGAATTGTCTCGTTTTCGTAATGTTTGTTGTGTGATTTTTAGGATACTTTCTTTAAGTTTGCGCAGTATGACAATACCATGGCATGATGAGAGGAGGTTAGTAGCTCGTACAATAAAGGCGTCGAGCTTACAACGTAAAACAAGCATGTTTGTTTGTATTTGTTTATGTGTGTGGTTATTTTTGTTTTAACAAGTTGAAACAAGGAAATATTCTGAATTTCAAATCTTCACTTTTCAACTTTTAATTCATTTTCACCCGGTTTTCATATCGTTATTTGTATTTATTTTGTTATGTCAATTTGTGTTTTCCGAAAGCTTGTCGTGTTTAGTTTAAGGAGTTTTCTTCATTGTATATATTGTAAATTTTGTACATTAAAATTTTGTAGGAGTATTATTTTTCTAATTCATTTGTTGTTGTTTGGACTCAAGTTTTGGTTCAGTAACTTATAGAATATTGAGGTGATTTGTCAAGTTTTATTATTTCGACTTGCGAATGTGTGGTAATGATTTTGTTAAAGTTTTGTACACGTTTGAGGTATGTGTTTATCGCTTTCTATACTTTAGCATATTCATGATGCTTAGACTTTATACAATTTTTATGTCATTCATTCATTTGTATACTTGTTCATTTGTGAATCACTTTAGTTCCTACCCTTTTTGTTAGGTAGCTTTTCATTGTTCACATATCCTGAAGACCACAATGCTTGTTTTAACTAGATTTTTTTATGCTTAATCTTTTGTTTTGTGTTGATCGTATGAATGCAAAAAACTGATCAAGGCATTTTTTGTTCCATTTTGAGCACAATTACCTAGCCAAATAGTTAATTCACCTTGTGAGTGTGTGATTATTAGTAACCCCTTTGAGCTTTTTTGTCGATATCCATGTTGTATTTGCTAAATGCTTGTCTATGAGTGTTTAGTTTCCCTTTTTGCATGGATGTTGATTCGTTATTTTCTTGAACCCTCAACCATTATTTTGGTTTGGACTTTTACCTTGCCTTAGAAAGTAGGGAGTATTCATTTTAATGTATGGTTGAATTCAAGTTGAGGAGAAAAATGATTGTGTATTTATTGGTTGATTGCTATGAGGTTGAAAAGAAAAATAAAAAAAGTGAGAAAATAAATGAAAAAAATGATAGAAAAAGAAAGGGAAAAAAATATAAAATCTTTGAAAAATAAAAACAAAAAGAGTATGGAATAATGTTATGTTGAATAAGTGATGTGTGTTGGTTTGAAATTTGGGATAAATAAGAAGTTTGATTGAAATTCTATTGTTTGAAACTTTGTGGAAGTAATTACTCCCTTAGGTTTAGGCAAGTTTTTGTTTCAATTAGCTTTAGGACTTATCACTTGTTTGTTAACCAAGCCACATTACAACCTTGAAAAGCCTTTGAGATTCTAGATTTTATATTTTCAATGTAAATTTTTGAATGCATGCATATTTTAGTCTATAGTTTGCAAGATTGTTGGATGAGTGAAAATACCCCATTTTTGTGTGTTTTTCATCTACCGATGATTATGTTTGCTAGGTGTGATTCATTTGTGACAAAGTATTATTTTAGAATGTTTGGCATATTCTTTGTATTTAGCATTTGTTTCATGTTTATGTTATCGGCGTAGTTTAGTGGTAAGTATGTTTCTTCGTGTGTACAGTTTTTCATTTGAACCACTCCATTTGTTTTCCGTTTTCAAAACCTGTTGATTTGTGATTCTTGATTTATCATTCTTTGTTCTTTATGTTATTTTACTTTTTTGAGGATAAACAATAGTTCAAGTTGGGCAGAGTTTGATAAGTGCAAATTGTAGCTATTTTTGTATATACTTTTTGTTGCACTTATCGATATTTTGTTGTTAATATCGTTGAATAAACCCGACTTTTGTATAAACACATTTAGTTTGTATTTATTTTTGTTTTTGTGTACATAGGGTACCTTTTGATAGTTTTCCATTCATTTTGTAGGTATTGATGTGTATTTGGAGCATGAGCAATAAAGTGTCGAAGACACGACTTCAAACGCGCGATTTTGAACAACTCGTCAACGAATAAGGCTCAAAATCAAAGAATAAGAAATCATAAATTTGTTTTATATTTTTTCATTATTAGAAGGAGCGTTGAATAAGCTTTCCAAAGCTTCAAACCGGGCACAAATCGGAGTTACGGTTCAAAAGTTATGGCCAAAACAATGCAGGATGCTGTGCTGACTTTTCAACCTTCTGTCATCTTTCGCCAGGCGAAA